GATGGTTGGATGGATAAATGGATGGATGGATTGATAGGTAGATGGATGGATGGATGGGTGGATAGATGGATTGATAGATAGATGGATGGATGGATGGATGGATGGTTGATGGATGGATAGATGGATGGATAGATGGATAGGTGGATGAATGGATGGATGGTTGGATGGATGGATAGATAGGTAGATGGATGGATGGATGAATTGATTGATGGATGGATGGATTGATGGATGGATAGATGGATGGATGGATTGATGGATAGATGGATAAATGGATGGGTGATAGATGGATAGATGGATGGATGGATGGATTGATGGATGGATAGATGGATAAATGGATGGGTGATAGATGGATAGATGGATGGATGGATGGATTGATGGATGGATAGATGGATAAATGGATGGGTGATAGATGGATAGATGGATGGATGGATGGATTGATGGATGGATAGATGGATAAATGGATGGATGGATAAATGGATGGATGGATGGATGATAGATGGATTGATGGATGGATGGATAAATGGATTGATGGATGGATCGATGGATGGATGGATTGATGGATGGATAGATGGATAAATGGATGGATGGATAAATGGATGGATGGATGATAGATGGATTGATGGATGGATGGATAAATGGATGGACAGATGGATAAAAATGTAGAAAATGTGATTAATATTTTATTTTATTTAAGTGTCCGGCCCCTGAGGTGTCTGTCGGCGGTTTACTGAAAGGCTGTAACACCACCACCACACTCACCGCATGGCAGACAGTTTCTCCCCCTTCCTCCAGTCCCACAGCACAATGGTGTGGTTCTCGTCCAGGCCCACGGACGCCAGCCTTTTACCGTCCGCTGTGGAAGAACAGAATCACTCAGCTGCTGCCTCAGTGATGTTGGTGATGGTAGGAGCATGAGAGCAGCCCACTGGGCCCGCTGTACTGCAGGTGACTCAGTGACACTGACATACAGATCACTGTGCTGCCTGCGGCTAATTAAGAGAGGTGTGAAGAACAGCTCTACCTTGATGCTGTCAGACTGCCGGGGATAAAAGGACAGCAGAAATAATGGGGCTTTCAGGGTTTGCGGGGGAAAAGAAATGAGTGCCTTATTCTTTAGGGGGTGCGAAGGATGTTTTTGTTCCACTAACAGGATGTCTGGAGGCATTAGTGAAGGTCATGTCAAACTTCCAAGATAAGTGAACGCATTGTTACCGGAGAAGTCCAAGGCGCACACTCCGAGCTGGTGGGAACCCTTCAACACAGACATTGGTTTCAAAGTTTCTATGTCCCAAATGTGGATGGAGGAATCTCTGCCAACCTGGACAGAAGAGGGAGAAAAAAGTGAACTCTGATTATTAATTTACATTTTAACACATATGCAAAAAGACACAAAATGAATAATGAACAAATAATTACACTAATCATCCATGTACTACTGCTTTAATAGACACATTTCTGGTGACCCCAGAAATTTCCTCATAGAATATTTTATTATCAATAATTAGACATTTCAGGTGACCCATTATGAATTCCAGGTGACACAACATGCGGCCGTGACCCCAAGATTGAAAAACACAGCCTCAGACTGATTTATATTGTTGAGGACGAAAGTTTCACTATTTTTTAACTTGAAAAGTAACTCTCCTAAAACGCACTAAAATCCACCAACTCTACGAAGTTTCACTTCTGAATATATTTCAGAATTTTCTTGGCATTTTTTCTTATTAATAATGCCATCATTTGAATTCTTCACAAATCAAAACAGGTGTGAAACACACTCATCCACCTGCTGTTTTTTGTCATTCTGTTCCAGCATTTTTTTTTCTTCAAATTTTGGAATGTTTGGAATGGAAAAATTTTAACTAGTTTAAAAGAACACAGCAGTCCACCGTCTACAGAACAGTAAGGTGGTTCTACACAGTGGCAGGTACCTGGCCTGTTGCTACAAAGTCCTTGAGCGGGTGTATGGACAGACAGAGGATGTCGTCATCGTGGCCCATGTAAAACCGCTGCGTGTTCTGCTGCCTGTTGTAAACGACCCCCACGGCAGCTGCGTGATAGACGATCTCTCCTGTCTGGGTGTAGAACAGGTTGCTCCTGCAGTCGTAGCCTCTGTAGCTGTGAAAAGAACAAGAAGAAACCACGAATAAATACACTCAGATAGTTTAAGGGGCTTTTGGGAAAGTGTGGTTTCATTCTCAGTGGGAACGATCTCGCCGCTGACCCATGAATGAAGTGCAGCTTCACGCCACTCCCTGGTGGCCGCTCTCTCTTCTTCACGGTCGCTGCTCGATGCTTCTCTTTGCACTGTTGTTTAAGCTGAGGTAGATCTTCTTTATAAACCTGGACCAATGAAAAAAAAATCATATTATCATCTATTATTTTCACAAAGAAACGTATTGAAAAGTTAACCCTAGCCTCCGGTACAAACCTGTCGTCGATACGTTAGCTGCGTCTCCTGCTCGATCTCTGAGTCCATCTCAGGTACGTCGGACTGATCCGAGTCTGACTCCTCACTGTGGGATTCTGCCAACGTCTCTGCAAAACAAAACCAAGGCTGGGTCGGAGCTGGGTCACAGTTGGGCAGTAAAGGCCACATGAATCAAACATGAAGCCGAGGATGCAGTTAATTTTACTTTACAAAAGTAATTTGACCGTTCTCAACAGAGAAACATACAAGCACTTCAGCCTTTGGTTTATACCTGGGATTCCGAGCTGCCACTAGGGGGTGAACAAGAAAAATAAAATGTGATGGCAGTTTGGAGGGTATTTTGAGTGGGATTTTTCCTCACGCCATAAAGACATACAAATAAACAATATATAAATAAACACTAAATTTCCTTAGTGAAATTTAAAATTAAACGCTTTTTAATTAAGGGTATTTTGAGTGGGAAATTTAAAATTAAACGCTTTTTAATTTATAAACAAACACAGGCTATAAATATGTGTGTGTTCTGGTCATTTGAGTAAATGTTTCTATTTTGGTTCCACCTATGAACCAACACCTTAATATTATTTAAATATAAAAGAGCGTTCTGAACAGGACTAGAACCCAACAACATTTGTGCTGGTGCATCCCAGCCTCAAGCACCAGGAAAAAATGTTTTATTATATTTTACAGTTTCACTAAATCCAACCAAACCAATCCCTGTGAACTATTTCTGGGTCACAACCCACCATTTATTGAACACTGTCTTCAATCACACACAGACAACCCTGGAAAAACAAAAACACCCCCCTCCCCTCGGCCCCCGCTTCCGCAAAAGTAAGAGCAGAGTGTGTCATAAAGTAATGACAACTATTTATCAGGCAGCTGTGCTTCACAGTGACATTGCTGAAGACTGGCGTAGAAAAACCGCTGATGCAGCAGAGGGAAGCCCTGCCAAGACCAGGCAATAAGCCGAAGTGGCAGCTGAGGGCAGCTACTCCCAAGATCCATTAGGGAAATTAAAAGCAGAGGCTGTTAGTATGGACTTTAATTTCAAAAAAGCACAGCTGCGCCCTGACACTGGGAAAAATATGACTCTAGAATGACAACGCAATTACACTTCCCGAGCTTTGTGCGCGTTATTGAATTTGTCTTAATTGATATGGCGGCCACTCGGTTGAAGAGCTTCATAAAAGTAGTTCAAAAAGAAGATGCAGTTCATGTGGTTCATGAGGCCAGAGGGAGTGCTGTGGATACACGGTGTACACATTAGGTAACACTGAGCTCCAGCACATTCATACGACCCTTTTATAGGCATTAAAATACTCCTTTTCACTTTAACTACAGCTGCTCAGCAGTTACTGCCACAACCAGAGACTGTTTGAAACAGATGCTGATGATCAACAAGCACAAATAGGTTTGGAAGCAGAAATTAAATCTGCAGGCTGTCTCCTTATTTCCATGGAGACACAGAAGTGGTGTCAAAAATCAAAAACGATGTCTGCTATAAGCTGCAAAGTCTGTTCCGCAGTTTTCTTGTCTCGGTTCCAGCAGAACATTCAACCATCTCTGCAAACAGTACTAATTTAAAAGGCTTTCCTTGCACACTGTGCACAGCATTACGTGAGTAGAAGACCGAGACGGTATCAGAATTTCTTTCAGGATACACCACTTAGCTTAATCAGATAAGACCTTGTTGGCAGCAGCCACTGATTTTCTGTGGTCACCCCAGATGTGGCAGGTATTGTCACTGGAACCATGAGGTTCAGGTGTCAGTGAATGCAGCTACGCGGCGTCTAGGACGTGTGTTCTAATAGTTCCTGATCACATCAGCAGGTCATCGCTAATGGAAATGAACAAATACATCAAACGGACATGAAAACTACTGCAGTGTTTCCGCAAAATCTTTTGAGCCACATTAGACGACGCACCACCGAATTAAAGTGTTACAAAAGATATATGCAATGATATAAAATGATTTTCTAGTTTCTATTTACTCA